GTAAAAATGGTAAAAATGGTAAACATGGCAAGAATCGAGAAAGGAACCATTTCCCGAAAACTCACAATTCCTCCGCAATCCTCATCGCTTGACGTGAGTCTATCCGCAATTTACTCGATGCCAACTTTGCGAACTCAACCGTACTCAAGGGGAGCGGTCTCCAACGAGACTTCGGATTATGTGACACGTGTGTCACAACACCACCCCCGGACTGAAAATCATACAAAAACGGAGTTTAGTACATCATTAAATATTGGACTTTCACCACACTAGTGATGTGAAAAACACTAGCGAAATACATGCCCGACGACTACTGAATATCACCACGAATATCGCGTTTTTCACCGAGTTTTAACCAAAATCTACCAAATCCATTAAACATTGAAGTTTCACACGTGACATGAAGAACACTAGTGAAAAGCATATTTCACAATTCACTTCGTGAAAAACAAGTGTGTGATCGGTCGTGAAGGCATACACCTCGTAAATTCACATCGAGTATTATGCAACTTCACGTAAAACGGTTGAAAAATATTCATTAACCTGCTGTCGGGCGTACGGCGTCAAAAGCCGGTTCGAAAATGATCAAGAACATCTTGAGAATTTTCTGATCATCATTATAGCAGCATGAGGCGAATAATAAAACCTATATACACCTATACAAAGATTCAAAATAGGCCCAATATGAATGCGCACATGTAGTAATATAAGTATATTTATCGTATATATAGTAATAATATGCGTCGGCGAAATCCGGGGTGAAAATGATCACGAACAGATCTTACTCTGATCATCTCTGTCGCGGCACAGGGCACACAATGGGATCTATATTAATATCCATATGCACTCAAACAATGATTCAGAGTAGGCCCAAACCAAGCCTTACCTCTCGAACATGCTGTAAGCATCTATCGTAGAGTAAAGTAGTAGCGAGATGATCGAATAATCGATGGCGACCCCAAAGGAGTTTCACTTCAACCATAGGAACTCCTTCCGGGTCACTTTTAATGAGCCCTTGTCCATGATCATCAGCTATAGCTCTCAAGGGCACCGATATCTGTTACGATGAATTCGGGTTGGGGAACTTGAAACATTTCTCGATCAATTCACGGATATTCAAACAATGGAGTTTCACAACCCGTTTTACGTGAAGTGGCGTAAAACTCGGTGAAAAACGCGATATTCGCGCTACACAGTAGTTTTTCATAAGTGTTTTTCATATCGCGGGTGGAACTCCAGTGTACTTGCAGCTGATACCGAAAATACCCGAAACTCGCCAAGATCTGAAAAATTATACAAAATTTTTAGGAAAAAAATGTGGGAAATTCTCCTTGATTTCTGTGAACTGCTATCCTAATTCCTATACATCCTCCCAAAATTTAGCGGACGAAACTCCTGAGCTCAGCCTCGGGAAGCGAACTTATATTCTTCCATCACTATCGCAGACCGCCGCACTCACCGTACACTTGATCGTCCAAAAAGGTTCCCTGATGAAATTCCTCTGCAGTAGCCAGCGTTGCACGACGAACCCCAGAGTCGGGAATTGACAAGGCCCGTAAGAGAGTATTCCCTCGAGTAAAGGCAATCTCCTTTTATAACGCAAAGTGAGAAACCGCGTAAATGACGCTCCTGAGATTAGTGAGCTTATTGTCAGATCGAGTACTAAAAGCATTGTGGGAAAATATGCACATGGTCAACCACATATGTTGGTGATAATATGAAAATTCTGAGAGGAAATTCCATGAGTTTATCGTTGATCGCTGCACATGCACATGTGTAGGTGGCATTCGAGGAAATTTCGAGGAAAATTGGGGAATTTCTCGATGGTTTCTGTACACTTCTGCTCGAATTCGTATATAAACTTGTATAATTAGTGCGGAAACTTCTAGGTTCGGCCGAGGAAAGCGATCCTATATTCCAACACTGAGCACAGATTTCCGAGATCTACGAAAAATGTGGTATCGCACTTAACCGCTTCACTTTAGTTGGAAAATATACTCGTGATGACGCGTCGGAGAATACGCGCATGGTCAACCACATATGTTAATGATAGTATGAAAATTCTGAGAGGAAATTTCATGAGTTTACCGTTGATCGCTGTACATTTCTACCCGGATTCTTGTACCAGCGTCTGTGATGAGTGATAAAATTCCTAACCTCAGCTAAGGAAAGCGAATATATATTCCAACAAGTGCGGAACTCCATCTGTGCCATGTTTGATCTTCTATACTCAATATCCAAAAACCCGCAGAAGTTCAATCCCAGGGGCCCGCTTTTATCACCTATTCGTAAATCTATTTCTTGCCGGGCATCCACTGCAGCAGCCAGATGCGGATTCGGCCGCGCTAGATTCAAACAGGCTCGTGTGAGATCAGCGTGAGTCAGGGCGGAAAAATTCGCCCGATAAACGTTCAGCCTCGCATTAGCCTGATATGAAGAGAAATGTGGGTACTGACATTTCATCCGCAGTTTGGGAGAATATGCACATGATCAACTACATGTGTTGGACACAATATGAGAATCCTGAGAAAATTCTGGGAAAATTTTTGTTAATCATACAAATTCGGGTAGAAGTGTACAGAAATCAACGAGAATTTTGAGAATTCCTCATACAATTTTCAGGCACATGTGGCTGAGCATCGTAAAACGTTTATTCACACTACGTTAGACCAGGCGATTACGGAGTTTTTCGCCCATTTAATCGTTGCTAATCCAACTACTACCTCTCTCGCTATTTCAATAACCTCATAAGCAATCGCCTCTCCTTCTCTATCACAATCCAACCATAACACGAGCCAATCGCACGTCCGGGCCAACCTCCTCAAGTTACCAGCTACTGGGCCCATGTCCGAAGCAACTGACCTATAATTCTACTACTCGATACATAAGTGCAATGTAATATAGTCGAATTGGTTACACTGTTCGACTATACATCCAAAGGTACCCGGTTCGAATCTTTGTAAGTCTATTACCCTTCCTATCAAAATGATCTACCACTAGCAAGAGGAAAAGTACTACAATTACAATACTAACTCGACCACCTACTCCAACACCACCAGAAATCCCCGAAATCTGGCCGATTTATGGTATATACATTACGAGTATATTCATATATTTGATAATTATGTGACATTTTTGTTTCACCCGAGATATGAAAAACACCAGTAAAAACATATTTCACAATTCGTTCAACGAAAACGCATATAAGCAGTGAATAACGCGTGAAACATGTCACACGAAAAATCGTGTGATATGTTCGGTGTAATTCAAGTATTTTCAATTCACTTCATACCGCGTTTTTCGCATGGAGTATTACATCAATTCACGTTGAACGGGTGAAGCTCCGCTGTATAGTGCCAATCTACAGCGTGCTGTAATATCCAAATTCATTCGCGTTTCACCCTAGTGATATGAAAAACACTAATGGAAAAAATATTTCACAGTTCACTTCGCGGAAAACTATTCTATCATCGTTCGCGGAGACATATGCGTCTCAGATTCACATCGAGTATTACGCCACTTCACGTAAAACGAGTGAAACTCCATAAATATTGCTTATCAACACTACTTAACAAGAGGTGCATTATACAGTGTCTCCGGATCAACCGTGTCCCATCGGCCTCGATATTCCTGTTCGAAATCAAGTCCCATTAGATGCCCCCGGACTGCCGTTACTACCATCATCACCTGATCACACTAGCTATTACTAATAACAAAATTTCGTCTACTCGCGTAATGATCTGAGCATCACTAACCTCTATGATTAGTTCGATCATAATTAGAAAAGATTCTCAGAAGGAAAAATTTAGAAAATTCACCCGTAACATGAAAAACACATTTCACATTGCAGTTCGCGAAAAACGCATGTGAGCAGTGTTTTACGTGATATGAGGCGACTTGTCCAATATAAGTGTTTTCAATTCACTTCGTATCGCGTTTTTCACATTGAGTATCACACCACTTCACGGTGAAACTCCAATATGTGTACATGTGCAACCTCCGACATATCGCGCCCGCCCAGCCCAAATTTTACTACATCAACATTGCCAAGTAGTCGGTAAGGGAACTCTCCTACTGGTGGGTTTCCATTCGGGATGACCCCACCTCCCAGTACTCTGCACATTTCGCGCGCCACAGAATTTTTCTCCGCCACATTCAGTGCTCTTATTCGTCTACCACCGGCAGCAGCAGGTGGTGGCGGCCTCATCAAAGGGAAGTGAAAAACGAGGAAATAAATATACTTCTCAAAGCTGACGATGCCACACTCCCAGTTTTACAACTGAGAGATTCCAAGTATAATGGAGTTTCACTACCCTAGTGATATGAAAAGCACTAGTGTAAAATATATTCCACTACTATTACCTGCATATCACCGCGAATATCGCGTTTTTCACCGAGTTTTACGCCACTTCACGTAAAACTCCATAGAATATTAACTACTGAATATTACTCTGGCGTTGGCAGCAGCTCGAAAACCGCGATACAACGTCCTGTATTAGAGGAATATACGTTTGCTATCCTAAATTGAGCTCAGCCGTTTCCTCACTATTCATACAAATTCACACACGAATGAGTCTGTACCAGAACATATTTCAAAAAGCTAATTTCTTCTCGCGTTACGCCACTTCACTCCAAACTCTATTAATTCACTCACTTATCGCAACCTAGGCATCCCTCCGAAACAAGCATCAAATTCAGATCAATCAAAGGCTCTAATACTTCCCATATCCGTGATTCGTCCCAAGTCGCCAGTCTTCTTGATCGTTGGCCACCACAGTTCCAGACATTCCTCATCTTTTGCCAGGAGCTCAAACCACGGCGTGAAAACATAGTGATGCGAACGAGGCAATCGTCGAAGCTCTCGAAGATCTGATACCCAACGAGTTTCCTTCAACCTAAAAAACGCATCGT